AGAACATGAAAATACTGTCAAGAAATTTTTTTTAGACTTTGTCAAGAAGTTTTCAAAACTCAGACTGGTGAGATATTAGGAAAGATTTCTAAATATTTCATATTTCTAAATATGTCAGTCAAATGGCAACACTTGTGCTGGCAGGTCTACTGAAAAATGAGAAATTAAAGACATTGTTCTTCATAACAGACTATAATTGAAGGGGTAAAAAATAGTTCAAAAATTTACCACTAAATCTACAGAACTCCTTAAAAGGAAACCAAAATAATTCATATTTTATGAACTATATAGAAGTGCAAATATAATATTCAAAGGTTCTTTGAACAATTTATATATAAATCATTATAAATCTAAGCACGTCACGGACAAAGAAATATTATCAACAGTTATAACTGTAATGGCTGAACCAAATATCAAGTATTTATGAAGATGTCTATTAACTCCTATAAATTGTTGAAGGGTTACTGTAGTGCAACTGCTTAAGAGCTGGTAGTCAAGTAACAAGTAACAACATTGCCTACATCATCCAGTCTGTTCCTTTCTCAGATTTCAAAAAATCTGAACTTTCCTGAAATATTTCAAACTGTGATTCTTCAAACATCTTTCTTCCAGAAGGTTCTAGCAGAGGAGCAATCCGTATCTAGAGACACCAATACACCATTGACAGTGACTGATTTTGTTAAAGACAGTGGAAAACTTTCTGGAGTTTAGTGCCATGTGCACTCAGTCTGAAAAGAGTAGGTACTTGGTAACAAAGCACAGGACATTGCCAAAATTTTCTCTCCATACTATAATTTTCTTCATGCTTTTTCTCTTTTTTTCTCTTTTTTTTTGATCTACAAATACAGTATGCAATGTTTACAGAAGCTAGTTATGTATTCAGAAAACAACTTTTCTACGGCTAACAAGACACAGAGACCTCAAGCCCAAATTAAGCTCTGCAGATTAAATACTACTTTGGTATTATTTACTTAACTATTTCCATTAAAATGTAAGTCTGAATATTTGAAAGTAATACTCACTTTTATCTTTCTTTTTCTCCAAATTTCCAAATTTCTTGTCTTTTTAATATGTTCATTTAAATGTATCTGGTATCTTTTCAATGTCTCTCTGATGGAAAATGCAGAGAAAGTTTTCTTATGCAGTATAGCACAATCTTCAAATGTAAAGGTAATACAAATATTGAAATTCTCTTTCTTGATCCTCTTTTGCTCTGTGGCTCACAAACAATGAAAATCCAGACCATCCAACTGACCCAACATCTTGCTAGAACGAAGAGATCAGAATCTGAATCCAGACAAACAGATTATTTACTGAGGCTGGTATTGTAGCAGACCTCTCTTATTTACAGTCAGACAACTCTGGTCTCCACTGATGATACACTTCAAGGTAATAATTCTTAACTTATGTTAGGGTCTCATAAGTCAACAGCAAATTATGGACTCCAACTGCACATGGAGTAAAGGAGAAGGTCTATTCAACACTCAGCTCCTCTGCGTTCTCAGAGATGGCTTTGTGCTGTGTTGACTTTGGCTTCTGAGGAACCCCAGTGCTTACAGACCATGGCAGGAGGTTTGGGTTTGGGCCTTTTTAACAGCAAAAACTTGTTGAAAAATCTTGTTTGAGCATCTACATTTCATTTTAGCTGTTAAATGGGAGACAGAACAAAGATGTGAAAACAGACAGTAAGTAGATTAAACAGCATAAAGAAATACTACTTATAGTTAAATTTCCTTTTATGGATGGCAGACTATTACCAAGTCTGGAAAAAGATGTTTACATGTGGTTCAAACACTCAACAACTGTGTGTGTGTGTGTTGGCCAGTCTTCACAAACGAAGATCCGGGGAAGGTCTTTCCACCTTCCAGCCTGCGCATTGGATTTTTTAGGTGAGACACAGTGTGCGCGGGACTGAGCCCACCCTTTAATCCTGAGGTTCATCTGCCGGGGCCACTCAACAACTAAACATATCTGGTAACACACTGTACCAGCTTGAGAACTATCTCAATTGCCAGTGTTGCCATTTCAGACACATGTGTGCATCCATTTTTGCATGCACATCACAATCTGAAATATCAGAGAGAAATGTTTTTCCTGTAATTATAAAGACTGGCTTGTTTTGGCTAAAGTCCTTTAGTACTGTAAGTGGTATTTGTGAGGACAGAAACAAGGTCATGGTTCATATCCTTAACTGTTTGTTCTAAATTATGAACGGGATGGATGGGGGGTGGGAGGGAGAACATGTGACAGCTCCAGTATGTGCTCCAGAGTTCTGCTACAGCAACCAGCATCTGAACTGTTGTATACAGTCACTAAAAAAATATATGCCTTTGTGAGAGTAATGCTTATAAGAGACTCCCACACACCACACAGGGGGAGTTTGGGCCTAGATGATAAGGTTGGAGGCGTTGTGCTCATTCTCATCTTCCTCACTTGTTCCAGACTTCAAGATCAGGAGTGAGGGCACACAAAACAATTTGACATTTGAATAATGCTAAACTTAGGAAGGGAGATAAAAATTGCATCTTTTTCTTGGAAACTCATGGTCATCAGTAGAATTTGTGCCAGCAAACAAGGAACTGAATTAAATCCAGTGCACATTTTCAGCTAAATGGTATTTAATTCACAAGGGGCCTGCTCTCCATGAGTTACTGCCGATCACATATGCTTTCCAAAGCAGGCTAAAACTCTGCTGTTCTAGATTGGTAGCATTTCACATTCACTGCATGATGAAAGGTTATGGTGAAAGGTTGCTGAGAACTAAGCCTGGTATCACAGGTCTTGGCTTGTTATACAGAGGATTTGCTGGGAGAGCAGCGACATTGGTGCAAATCCTCTGTATTGGTGGAGCAAACAGCCACACACACTATGCATTGTTGCAATCCACCCTGGCTTAAATTCTACAACTCAGGCTACACAGAGGAAGACTATATAGCCACAACCCTTGTGTTGTAGGAGCACACACAAATAGGGGGACTTAGTCCCTTCTCCTTCCCCACATCAAAATAATCCCTGAGCTCTGTAGTTACAGTGCAGAAAAAGGATAGGAGAGGAATATTCTGGTTGGTTCTTTCTCTGCCTCGGTTTTACATCTGAACACAAGGATGGATAAACTTTAGACAGTTTAACACCCTACATTACTTCATGATCCCTTTTTCCTGGATCAATTTTGTTTAATTGTGAAGTCATACAAGCTTTCCTTGCTGAACTTTGTGCTTTACAAAAGATTAGTTCTATGTGGCTAAATGTATTCACTACCTTTAATAAAACTGTGGATGTAAATGAGGGAAAAGATTTGTCTCCTCTATCCTCCTTCCAAGGCATTGTTGTTCTTTCCAGTGTTCTTTGGAGTGTATTCTTGGTAGGCTTGTCCAAGCTGGTTATAAGTCTTTTTATTTACAAAGAATGACTTGTGGGAGGACATGACTTTGAGTGATGCTGGATAAACAGGGACTGTCCATCAAAGCAGAGTTAACAAATGTTTATTTGTTAGAATCACTAGACGTCAGGAATTCTGCTGTCATTCACTCCTGATATTTCTGAGCCCAAACAAATGGGAGATTCAGGTAGGTTTTCCAAAATCAGTAATGGGTTCTCTCTGCATAACTTTTGTGTATTATAGATTTGACATTTCCACAACCTATTTCTCCTCAGGCTAAAATATTTCCCTGTTACAATCTGCCAGTGAAATCCCTCGTCTCCCAATTTCCAAGTCAGTACCTTTACCCAGACAAACCTCTGCTAGTCTTCTGTAGTTTTGTGTAGCATGAGCACACTATGATTCACAGTTGGTGATTGCTGCAGTGTTTATAATATTATTTTTATAACAATCCATAAAGCGAACATGCACCTTCAGCAAAAGGTTGTAATATGCCTCCTGACGTTCTACTCAGCTGTTGTTCCACTCACAACTCCCACTGAACTACGTGTAATGCTTTAGGTGTGGACTTGCCAAAACGTCACAGCACAAAACCTCTCACTACTCTGATTTGTTGTATTACAGCTTAAAGCCATAACAAGGCTCTGAAATGACTGTGACTTGGATGTCTCTTGGGACAAAGAAGAAGCTTTCAAGGCCAGTACAGTCTTTGCCACACAGAGATGTGGAGAACAGGAATTTCACCTGCCCTAACACCAAATGACAGGGAACAGGAATGTAAATCATGCTGGCACAGCCTGCTGGAGGCCACGGGCAGAGCCAGAGAATACTCAGCAACAGAATTCCACTATCTGAAGCCGGTTCCAGACCAATGTGGCAGTAAAGGGCTACAGTAACCACAGTCATAACCGTAAGACAATAGAGAATAAAACATTAAAAACATCTCAATAAATTGTAGCATAATAAGCCATTGGCTTCCAAGCCTGTCTGGAAAGGCTTGGGAGTTGCTCATCTCCACCTCCCACGTGACCTCCTGTGTCACCACAGTTCATTTAGCAGAACTCAGAGCACGGACACTCCCTGTTCCACCACAGCACAAAGGTCTATGCTCTATTCACTGTCTGTGAATGCTTCAAGGCACTGCTTGAAAGCAGGTGTAAGGACCGTCAGAAAGCTCACAATCTATGTTCATCTTACAAAATTTAGTGGGTGCTGAGGAGTACAAATGCACTTACTACCACAGAACAGATTTTTTATCATTTTTCTGCAGAAAAAAAAACCAAACAACCTCTCCCAAATCCTTTATCCTTTAAGAACTTAGATATATAATGAAAGCCATGAGTCATCTGGAGCTACTATAATCAGACTAACATAACTGCAGCTTGATAACAATGGTGCAGCAATGAAAACACACTCATAAATATTTTTGTCACCTTGGTACCTTCTGTGAATGGGGAGCAATGCAAGCATAGTCTTGACATCATGACTGGTATCAGTCTGTCTTATGCCTGGGTTCAAGAGATACTGTCATAAAAGTTACACAACTGTCTGCCAGCAGTTATTCTTAACAGCAAATACAATAAAAGGTTTTGGCATCCATACCTGGAAGCCTAGAACTTACATAGCTTCTCCTCATGTATTCCATATGCACTTTGAAGGATAACATCACATTCTCCATCTCTCTTTATAGCTTCAACACCTGCAATTTTCCATAAAAATAAGCTGAATCTTAGAAGCATAAATGAATTTGCAAAAATCAATAAGGACAATTAAGTTGGCAAAAATAGAGTAAGGGTGCTGTGAAGACATTAGCTTTCCACAGTACTGCCTAACTAATCTAAAGCTGAAATGGAATAATTACACTTTAAAGAGCAGATGGCTTACTAAATACTTGCCTTTTTGTTGTGGTTTTGTTTGGGTTTTTTTTCAATTAAATGTGCAGTCTCAGTATCCAAGGCATAGTTTTAATGTACTAATAATATCGTACACCCAGTAACTACAGGGCACTGAAAAAACAGGAAATCCTGCCTTTGCTGGCATGAGAAAGTAAGTGAATGGGACTATCCTCAGCCCAGCAAAGCTTCCTGCCTGGTAGCATTGAGAAGCTTCCTTGTGCTAGACCAGTCTGGGGTTAAACATGGGAGTTCAGTGTTCCAAAAGTGTCAGTCAAGAACCTTTCAAACAAACTAAATTCATATTGAAGTACTAAAGGAAATGCATGAAAATAGAAGCAAGTCATTCAGTGTTCAAAAAACAGAGCTGATTTAAAGCAAACTACATAACCTGTTGCGTGGGTGGACTTTTATCTCATGTGGGTTTAGCTGGCAGAGCTAAAAATGTTAGCCAATACAAGGTTAGAGGCCGTCCTCTGAACAGATGCAGATGATAACCCTGTGAGCTCAGCTGTCTGCTCCAATCACCTTGCAAATGATAGTGTGTTTCCAGCAAAAATTACAGGAATTTAGTCAGTTTGTTTGGACTAAGTGAAATTGCACAACTATTCAATTCTGCACGCAAATGCTGTGGAAGCACTGTGGAGGCTTCCTCGCTGGGGCTCTAAATAGAAGGTACCAGAACTCTATAAACTCTTCCCAAACAAAATAATCCTTCCGTTTCTAGGATCTAAATGTGGCCCAGCAATCTTTCTTTGCCCTTGGTACCACATACGCAGCAAAGGTCATTCTCTTTCAGTATTTATTCAGAATCTTAAAATTTAGCCAGTTTAAGAGTTTCTGACCCCTCAAGTCAGAAACCTGACACCATCCCAAGTGTCATTTATTTTAAAGGTCCAGCTCCTGCAATTCTGTGATCATTCTCCCACACTTCATTTACAAATGTAAAAAGCACAGGGTATTGCTGGTGTTTGACAGTACTCTAAAGCTGATTTATGTGCTGTAGGCAGCCTATCCACGGCAGCCTGGAGCTGCACACAGGCAAATTCCTCCTGCTGCACTGTTCAGCATGCTGATACAGCAGGTATTGACACAGCATGCTCGTATATTGCAATATTGATATAGGATACAGCAGGTAAATTTCAAGCCTTCACAACTCCCCAGGGAAGCACATGAAATAGAAATCATCAAAAGAAGAAAAAAGATTCAGTGAACCCTGCTTCTCTTCTGGTTTTCCTGATCTGGGGCGAGGTTCATTAGTTCTGAGCAGAATGCCTGATCTCTGCCAGTCTGATAGGAGAGCATTTTGGCTGCAAGCCCAGCCTGCCTCTACCTGCAATACTGCCAGCTCCTGCTGTCTCTAGGCCCTTTATCACTTCTTCTTTAGCCTAGAAGGACTGTGTTGTCAGAAACTCTCCATAACCATCACTAAACGTCACCGCTGAGTGACGTGAAGCACTGGCACAAAGGATGAGCACCCACAGTCCTCCGAAATCCTCCTGAACAGAGCGGAGAGACCCAGGGTGGAAAACTGAGTCCAAGACACTGAATAAGTAGAAAATTCCTTCAACACCAGGCTACCAGGCCATTCCTCAAATTTACCAAAGCATTTCAGCAATGTGCTCTGCAACCCTTTTAAACACCATACGGTGCTGGATTACTTATGGCTTCCTACTATTGCTCCCATTAAAAACTTCTGTTAGTTCATTATTCGTACAAAGGTCAGACACCCTGAGGACAGTGTAAATGGAAAGCATCCTGGATGGAAAACAGGCTTAACGCTGCTTTTTAGCTACAATTCAGCATCAAAGCCCTGCGTGGGAAAACTGAGGCGGTCAGCGAGGTGTGATGTGCCCGTCCGACAGCAATGTCAAACACAGGAGTATCCACACCCCAGAGAGGTGCACTGCCGGGTTCGACATTTCATCGTGCGAATGCTCACACGGAGCAAGCATACATTCTGAGGAAGGGGCGGAGGGCACCCCCCGCCCCCCCCCCGTGCTCCGCGCTGATGAGAGCGCCGCTCCCGTTACGGGGCCCCGCAGGATTTCCTGCCTCGGCAGCCCCTCAATTCCTGGAAGCGATGTCTCCCGAGGGCAGGAAGGGCGGACGCGGCGCCGCCGGCTGCCCCGGAGCCCCCCGTGAGGGGACGCGGCGACCCCCGGGCCCCCTCAGAGCGGAGCGGCGCGCGCACACCCCCCCCCCCCCCCCCCCCCCCCCCCCCCCCCCCCCCCCCCCCCCCCCCCCCCCCCGCGCGCTCCCCGCCGCGCGCGCGCGGGCGCTGCTGTAACGGCCGCGGCACCGCGTGCCGGGGCGCGCTCACGTGACGGGGCTGATTGGCTGGGGCGCGCGCGCCCGCTCCGCTCGCGCCGGGCCGGGCAGGGCAGGGCGGGACCCGCCGCACCCGGCACCGCGAATTGGGAACCGCACACAGCACCGGGCACTGGGACCGGGCACAGCACACACCACACAGCACCGGGCACTGGGACCGGGCACAGCACACACGGCACCGGGCACTGGGACCGGGCACAGCACACACCACACAGCACCGGGCACTGGGACCGGGCACAGCACACACGGCACCGGGCACCGCACCACACACAGCACCGAGCATTGGGCACCGCGCACCGCGCGCAGCGCCGGGCACTGCACCGCGCCGGGTCATTGCTGTCCTGCCCTCAGCGGGTCCCGCTCCGTGCTCAGGTGAGACGCTGCGGCCCCGGTCGCGGGAAGAAGGGAGGAAAGGAGGGAGGGAGGGAGCGGGCGGGTGCTGCCCAGCGCTGCCCAGCGCTGCCCGCTGTCTGGGCTTCCCGAGGCTCTCCCCGCGGGACGCGGTGACCCGGCGCGGTGGGAGTTGCGCTGCGGGAAGGAAGGAGGGGTGGGTGGCTGAGGAGCCCAGCGGGCCAGGGGCGCTCCCCGTTCCTGACCGGAGCCCCCGGCTCCTGCCCTGGCGGGGTCGCGGTACCCGCGCGGCTCTCCCTGGTGTCCCGTGCCCTTCAGCGGCAAGGCCAGGACTGCTGACGGCTCGCCCGGGTGTCAGGCGGTCGTGCTGCATCGCTGCCGAGCCATTGGATACCGTTAGGTGTTCGGCGTTTCTGAACGCGCTGCGTTCGAACAGTGCGCTGTGGTGTTTATCGCCGCACCTGGCAGGACTTTTACACGTTCATGCAGAAAATTTAGCGTGGCTACCCCCTCTACGTGAAAACTAGATGGACAAATCTAAAATCTGTTTGTATTTCACTTTCTAGATGTTGGTTTGGCACATTTTCCATAGAATTGAAACTTTCTTCTCCTGTAGAATCTCCAGGCACTTTCTGAAAGCACTGCTTGAAAAGCAATTTGCTGAATTAACGTAGCATGCACAAAGATAACCTGAGTTGACGTACTAGCAGAATAACATCTATCTCGTGAGCAGAAATGGAATATTCCTGCCCTTAGGTCCCTTTCTAATCTTAAATTATTAATGGTTCTCTGCATTACAAGAATGAAATTTGTAATTGGTACAGAGTGCAAATGCGTGTAGAGAACCGGATACAAGAAGAGCTGATTATGAAGATGTACCTCCCAAAAAGACTAGCAGGAGGATGAAGTTAGAGAGCCTCTTCTCTTCTTTACAGTTGTTGAGAACCTCTGGGGAGAAGCACTGGGCTGTACCCAGCCCAACTCTTTTGCAGCTCTCCAAAAAAAAGGAATGAGAAAAGGGCAATACTTTTCCCTCCTTGAGGAGCATAGCAAATTAGAGCATTAGCACATGCACTTTTTAGCAGCTGTTTAACTAAGTCGTTATGGGTGCTCCTAAGGGTGAGTTAGTGGCAATCATAGTGTCCCATCTTCTTTTAGAACCTGATTGTCAACTTCTCACCAAATGTTGTCATTTGTACTTAGTTAAATAGAAATTTTTATATCACATGTCATCAGTTTCTTTTGTCTATGCAGTCAATGCAGGAAAAAGTTCCTTTTTCTCTAAGGGAGACCCCAGAAAAAGCACACTTGCCTAAATTGAAGTAGAAAGGGCAAAACACTTGCATTTACTATGGATTCTAGAACATTAATGGTTTGAAAATGTCTCGAGAGGAAATGTTGGTTTAGGTATCAATGGGAAGTAAAATTTCTACTGTCTGTTCAACCATGTAATGTACAGCAAGTGAGGTGTGTCATAGTAAAGATTACAACAGTGAATTAAGGTTCTGCTCTTTCTTTTACTTGAACTTCTTCCGGTATTTGAACTCTTAAAGGCAAAAGTTTGAAGTGAGGCTTAAAAGCATTTTTCTTCTACAGGATCCTTCAAAGTTTGTTGAAGAGATTTGGGGCAGATGTACTGTGAATGTGTGGTGTTACAGAAACTGAAAGGAATACATAGAGATGATGGGCTGGTAAAAGAAAACTAGAGTAGTTTTAGAGGATAAAGTTTTGCAATGTTTTTAGTTTTGTAATAATCTTCAAAAAAAACCCCAGGGGTGGGACAAAGACTGGATCAGCTTGGGTTTCTGAACAACCCAAAGCTGAAGCTGAGGTGGGTTTGAGGAGAAAACTGGGCTGAGTTTTCTGTAGTGTCGCTGTGGTAGAGGAGTGTCTTGCCCATAATAGAAGAGGCTCCTAGACCTGATCACACATGACTGTTGGCCCCAACAAGTCATCCAGGGAGCCTAGTGTTCCACCTGGCCTTGTCTGCATTCCTTCTGGGCCTGGTTTACCCTGCAAACGTTTCACCTGCCGACCTGCAGCAACAACCACCTGCTCCTCACCTTCCTGCCTATTTAAAGGAAATTCCCCCCTTGGGAGAATTAGACCATTTAAGTACATCCCTCCCTGAATTGCTCTGTGTTCCAGCTGGCTTTAGTGTCCCTCAGCTTACACTGACCTTGCTGCATGTCCTGCAGACAGTACCACGGTGTGCTTGCTGTT